TATCAGTGGATTCAGGCTGCTGTCGTAAGAGGGTGTGACCTTGCATGAGGCAGCTTTTTCCAGCTGACATTATCTGAAGTAGCTGACAACTAACGGCTGCTTCCCAGGCACTCCCAGCATCTGGGACAGTAAGTCCTTTATTCCTCAAGGGGGCCTGGGTGGTATATCATAGCTCAGCTTCACTTCTTTGTACACTTCTGGGAGCGGCTCCTTCAGGCTTCCAGTGGGCCCCTCCTCAGGGAAAACTGAGAAAAAGATTGGTGGGACAGACTATAGCCCCTGCTGCTAGAGTTGGCCTTGGAGATCTCCTGAATCATCTGCCTCCTCTATTCTCCATTCTAGATTCCTGCGCCCCTTGGCTAGCACATCTGGTCTGCATGCTTACCTGATGGTGTGACGCAGGCCTCATCCCTGGGGGTCTGAGCCCTTGGTTACCAAGCCCTTCTCAGGCTGAGGTTGCTGTACTTGTCCAGTTACTGCCAAAATAGGACAAGAGAATACAGAGACACCCAAGTGTACCATCTGCATGCCAAACATGTTCTTCTACGTCCCCACTGTGATCAGTCCTACTCTCTTCTCATGTTGAGGTTCATTCACATCTGCCGAGTTGGTGGCTTCTTGCCTGCTGGTCTGCTGACACCGGAGTCCAGTCCCAGGCAGCCTTTCCCGTCTCCTGCCGTATGGATTCGCACATTGAAGAATCTGAAGAAGTCAGCCAAGCATTGTGCTTCCTAATCTATTTGGGGAAGTGCAGGGTGGAATAATTTGTTATTTACTTTAGAGGCAGTACCTTTTGACCAGCTTCATCTAATTCTCAGCCTCTCATAACTACAAATCTAGTCTCTTACTCCATGAGTTTGGGTTTTCTGTTTTTGGGGTTTTTTTTGTTTGTTTGTTTTAGATTCCACAAATAAGTGAGATCATAGAGTCTTTCTGTCTGACTTATTTCACTTAGCATAATGCCCTCAAGGTCTATCCATGTTGTTGCTAATGGGAGGATTTTCTTATTTTCTGTCGCTGAGGAGTAGTTGTGTATACATGTGTGCATGCGTGTGCATGTATGTGTGCATATCACATTTTCTTTATCCATTTATCCATTGATAGGCACTAAGGTTGTTTCCATGTCTTGGCTGTTGTGAATAATGCTGCAGTAAACACGGGGG